AGGTTCATATATGCTGATGTGAAAAAAATCAAACGTYCAAACTCAGAAATCTTTTTCCTGATCATGTTTGCTTTTGTCAGTACAGAATTGGATGAATATAAAAGCTATATAGTTTTTACAGCTTTGTAAACAAATTTGTCTGGTCTTTTAAAACATTTTARACCCCAGCTTGTTAAAACTGCACTTGTCAATATCATACCCTTTCCCAGTCTGACAGCCAAATGTATTTTTATTTATTTTTTCAATCCCTGTCCACTGATTTCGCCCACTTAAGATGCCTGGTGGCGTGACATTCATGAGAGTTTTTTATCCCATAATTACAGCTGATTGCTTTGATTTGTCTAACTTTCCTCAGACCTCAAACAATTTAGGGTTTGATATGTAGTTAAGAGTAATTAAGAAGGCTGTACTAAATGTGCTCACAATTTATTTCATTTTTTCGGGGTTCTGTTGGGTCAGGGCTCTGATTTTTTTCAGTGGAAACATCAGGTTATGTGTAGTAAAAGATAAAACTGCACACACACAYATACTTCTACACTTAAATGTGGTTCTTTCAATGTATATGGGGCGCCTAGTGTAAAATGACATGTTAAAAAATTTCACTAACATAATTTGAGAGTTAAAAATTTTTCACTAACATTTTCTTGTTATTGAGCTCACTGTTCTTGCATACCTAATTATTACCAAAGGTTAAAAAAATATATTTAAATATTAAATCCTAAATCTAAATGTAAAAATTAAACCCTAAATGTTAAATGTTGAAGTTCACATTTAGGTATTTTGAAATACAACGCAGCCTCTGTTGTTTGTGTTCGGCTCATGTTATGATGTCATCATCACGAGACACTAGCAACCGCTAGCGCTGCAATGCAGCTAAAGCTTCCCTACAACCCATCAGACTTGCAGATGCAAGTCAGTGTTCGAGCTGCACATCAAACTGCTGGACCACAAGTACCCCCATAATGTTTTTTTAATGAACACATTTTGAGTTTAGATTTTAAATACTATCTTCAGCAGTGTTAGCAGCGACTAGCAGTATCTAGTGGTGGCTAGCATCTTCCTTTGTTGATGTTTTTCTCAGGATGATGACGTCATAACATGATCTGAGCACCAACAGCAAAAGCTGTGTTCCATTCCAAAATACCTAAATGCGAATTTCAAGTTTTAACTTCAACATTTAATATCTCCACATATAGATTTAAACATTGATTTAGGATTTAATATTTAAATATATATTTTTAACAGCCCCATAGCTATGAGTAACCTGGCATTGATGGCCTAATTTGAGAGCTCTGGAT